TTTTAAAGATTTCATTTATTTATTTGAGAGAGAGAGTGAGCAAGAGAGAGAGAGAGAGAATGAGCAGGGAGGGAGGAAGGGAGGGAGGGAGGGAAGTAGCAGGCTTCCCATGGAGCAGGGAGACTGATGCAGGGCTGGATCCCAGGACCCTGGCATCATGACCTGAGCTGAAGGCAGAAGCTTAATGGACTGAGCCATCCAGGAATGCCCCCCCCATTGTATTTTTAAGGAGAAAGAATCTGCTAGTGAATAATCAACCAATATATTTACATCTGGAAATGAAACAGCAAATTTATAAGTAATCCATGCAGTGCACATGATTAGCATTGAAAAGCTGGGTTAGAACTGTAATTTTACTGACAATGTAAGAGGACCAAATGAAAAAAATGACTGGAAACTAACATACTCTTACCATATTACCTAGCAATTGGGCTCTTGGTGTTTAGCCAATGAATCGCAAACTTCTATCTACACAAAAACCTCACACAGATGTTTATTTATTTATGATTTATTTATGATTGTCAGAACTTGGAAGCAACCAAGATGTCTTTCAGTAGGTGACTGGATAAACTGGGATACATTCAAAAATGGAATATCCATTCAAAAATGGGATATTATTCAGCACTAAAAAGAAATGAACTACCAGGCCATGAAAAGGCAAGAAGAAAACTTAAATGCGTATTACTAAGTGAAACTTTTCAATCTGAAAAGAGTACATACAGTATGATCCCAACTACCTGATGTTCTGGGAAAGCAAAACTAGTTTTAAGACAGTTAAAGGTCATTGTCTGCCAAGGGCTAAGGGGAAAGAAGGGATGAGCACAAAGGATTTTTAGGGCAGTGAAACTACCCTTTATGATACTACAGTTGCAGATACAATGTCATTACACGCTTAACAAATCTAGAGAACATGTAACACCAAGAGTAAACCCTTATGTAAAGTAAGGACTTTGGGTGGTAATGATGTCTTTGTAGGTTCACAGATTGTAGCAAATATAACTAGGGTGTGGGGCACAGTAGGGGAGGTTGTGCATGTGTGGGAACAAGGGGAAAATGGGAACGCTCTCTACTCTCGGCTCAATTTTGCTGTGGACTTAAACTGCTCTAAAACATAATCTATTTTTTTAATAAAATTAGTTTATTAATTCTAACAATAATTGGGATTCTAGATGAGGTTTCCATAGTCTCTGAATATCTTGCTGTTCAAAACGCATATTCAGAGGCACCCAGGTGGCTCAGTCAATTAAGCCTCCCACTCTTGATTTCTGCTTGTGTCATGGTCTGGTGGTGGTGGGATGGAGTCCCATGATGAACCCTACATTGGGCTCTGTGCTCAGTGGGAAGTCTGCCAGAGATTTTCTCTCTGTCTCCTGCTTCCCCTCCCCCTCACTCCATGCACAGGTGCTGTCTCTTTCTTTCTCTCAAATAAGTAAATCTTTTTTTAAAAAAATATTGCATATTCAGCCATCTTGTGTCCCCGTACGTGCACCTAATCTCAGCTGGTCCACCTGAGATCTCCCCTGAGTACCAACCCTAGTCCTCCACACGGTCCCCTTTCTGCCCCCAACAAGATGAAAGAAACTATCATGAACCAGGAGAAACTCGCCAAACTGCCAGCACAAGCGCGCATTGGTGGGAAAGGAACAGCGTGCAGAAAGAAGGCAGTTCATAGAACGGCTACAGCAGATGATAAAAAACTTCAGTGCTCCTTTAAAAAGTTAGGGGTAAACAATATCTCTAGTATTGAAGAAATGAATATGTTCACAAACCAAGGAACAATGATTCACTTTAAAAACCCCAAAGTTCAGGCATCACTGGCAGCCAACACGTTCACCATTACAGGTCAGCTGAGACAGAGCTGCTGACAGAAAGGCAGGGTCTTTTTAAATCTTTTTTTAAGATTTTTATTTATTTATTTGACAGAGATCACAAGTAGGCAGAGAGAGAGAGGAAGGTAAGCAGGCTCCCCGCTGAGCAGAGAGCCCGATGCGGGGTTCGATCCCAAGACCCTGGGATCATGTACTGAGTTGAAGGCAGAGGCCTTAACCCACTGAGCCACCCAGGTGCCCCAGAAAGGCAGGGTCTTAAACCAACTTGGTGCAGACAGTCTGACTAGTTTGAGAAGACTGGCTGAAGCTCTGCCCACACAATCTGTGGATGGAAAAGCCCCACTTGCTATCGGAGGGGAGGAGGATGATAAAGTTCCACATCTTGTGGAGAATTTTGATGACGCTTCCAAGAATGAAGCAAGCTGAATTGAGTCAACTTCTGAAGAAGATGAAACTTGAAGAAGTTACTGGGAGCTGCTATTTTATATGATGACTGCTTTTCAAAATTTTGTTCATGGATCTGATAAAATCTAAATCTCTAATATTTTTACACCCAAGCCCCTTGGACACTGCAGCTCTTTTCAGTTTTTGTTTATACACAAGTCATTCTTTGCAGCTAATTAAGCTGAAGAAGCCTGGGGATAAAGTTTGAAACAAGGTTAAAAAACAAAATACATATTCAGTGGTCCATCACTTTGAATGACTGTATGATAATTAAAGAAAAAAATCAAGCAATACTACTATTTAATTTTTAGACAACAATGAAAAATATATTTTTGAAACAGAGTTAGATTAAGGGAGAACAGGAAATTATTAAATTTAGGATCAATATTAATGATACTGAATCCATGTTAGAGAAAATTAATATATATCTATAGTTTAATAGTGTTCGAGAATTTAAACAATTGAACTTTGGAAGGGGAAACTGGAAGGGAGACAATTTTTTGTCAGTAAGGAAAAATTTTAAGCTGCATATTTTAATCATCATAAACTGCTAGGGATTTCAATATTTTAATAGATTCATTTAGCTCTAAATGTCTTCAAGCATGCTATAAATCCTCCAGAGCCACTGCTTTGTAATATAGCCTTTTAACATATTCATTGTCTCTTTCCAGGATAAGTTCACTATTGCTATTCCATTAGTCTGTTTGTGATTTATTTCAAAGATAAAATGAGTATCCTCACTTTTCATTCATGACTCTTTAATCTTGATTTTTTAAATCAGAATTTGATGGTAATTATCATCTATTAAAATGCATTCTTTCCCTCTTCTTGTACATTTTTCCTCTTTATAGTAAATCTTATATGCTGACACCATCGTTAAAAACATTTTATCAGTAATTATACCTAGATGTATTCCCTTTTATGAACTCAGTTTCCTAAGAGACTCTTAATAATCAACATGGAGCATTTTTAGATGTAGGAAAGATTCTATTGGTGCATAATAGGAAAGTGGTGGATTTGCCGACCTCATTTCTCTTTTTCATTTTATCCTTTCCCTAATCCTGATAGTTTTATAGATTTTACAGGATAAATTTACGCATAACCCCACAATATAATGGAATGTTAGTTATATGTGGTGTGCTGCCAAAACAGAGGTCCATTACCCAAAAGTGAGACTGAAGCCGTCCTTAGAATATAAGGCATTTACAACAAGAGGCTTGGATAATATTAAAACCATAAGAAATTATGGCAGAGAAGAATATCTGTAGCAAAAATAAAAGTAAACCATTCTGCCTCTCTGATCCTTAGTTCACCATCAATAAAAGGAAAAGAAAACATATTTACTTCCAGAACTGCTGTGATGATTAAGTCAGAAAGTTTAAGTGAAAATTCAGTATCAGTCATAAAGAGACATACAAATATTGGAGAGCAAAATAATTAATAATTTTCCATCTCAGAATTATAAGAGAAATTTAGGCAGGCAAAGCACTTAGAAAAGGCTACATGCCCAAGACTTGAATGAAAGTGAGACTTATGTATGTGTATAAATCCTATCATCCCAAATTCTTTGTATTGTGTGTAACCGGCTGGTTTGGTACCGTGAAACATAAAGATAGTACAGCCTTTTGAAAATTCCGAAACAAAGAGAAGAGCCAAGGAAAGAATATGAATAATTTAATCAGATAGGATTCAAGTTTATCCCCAGCTTATTTGCCTTTTATTCTTCATTTCAGTTAGTTACATATCCATCTGTTATCACCAAGGTTGTGCATGCACCTTGAAATGTTCACAAAAGTTCCACAATACAGGGGTTCATAATTAGGTTATATGTTATATTCAGAATCCCAGGGGAACTAATCAATTCTGGAAATATTGATTAAGCAAGATGAAGAATTCTTAACACAGTTTCAACTACAACAATTTTAAAGACAAGTTCAAGCTTTCTTTGCCACAAAACTCACAAAAAAGTAATTGAAGAATATCTCTTTTATGCAAAATATACATTTTAGGATATAATTTGATTAATACTCTACTATATACTGACATTACTCCTCGATCATTTAATAAAAAAATACTCTCATCGCCAGAATTTTATTTTCTGTAATATTTATAATTGAGGTAACAATGACAAAGGACTTAAACCATGAATAACGTTGGTGAGTTTTTTTTAAAGTCATAATGATTTTCCAGATCTAAACATACAGGTGACAAAAAAATAGGTTAGTTTTGATAAATAGGCACTGAAAATTTCACAACAAAGACAACCACGTAAGTGGTTTATAAAAAAAAAAATAGAGAGTCAATGTTCATGGATTCAAACAACAAAGAAGAAGTAAGGGAAATTACGACACATCTATACTACACCGATATCACTGCCTCGTATGATTCACAGCACGATCTACCGCAGGCGCAAGAGGGGCAATTCACGGAGGTATGGGCCTTACTCAGAAGCTCCATGTTGGTCATGGACTTGGCTTCCTTGGATGTGAGATGGCTGAAGCTGTTGACCCATGCACACGTGTTGGTATTTACAATTGTTTACGGCTCCTGGCCAGTCCACAGCAGACCACTCATATGGGGAGCACCAAATGAGTTCCAGCTACAGTTCTTTTCTAAGCTTTAGATGCCTCACGGAGACGCAGGGACCTCTTCCAAGTGCTACCTGGTCACATCAGGGCACATTCAGCAGCAGAAGTCTGTTTCCAGTACAGTCCTTGGTATGGCTAAATTCCATTGTCCCTTTTTCAGCGGTCAAAAATCCATGACAAATTCTGTACAACACTGCAGTCAATAACAGCAGCACCAGACAGCATATTAATTCCTTTACCACAATGCTATAGGTCATTATAACTTTCTAAGTGTGGTGTTATTAAAAAAGATCATTGAATCTCTAAATATCAGATGTGTACGTCTGGGTAAATTCGTTGCTGTACAAGATCTCTGACATGCAGTTCATGCTTTAGGACTTAGGGATATAGAGTAATAGATGTTATGTGGCCAATAATAAAAATGACATTTGTCTTCCTAACAAAAAAAATAAACATGAGAATTAAGGATTAATCAACAGTCTCAAGGATCCCGAATGCCTTAGAAATATTGTTTATCCCTCAATTTATATTATGGCATTTTTCTTCCCTCACAAGCCCAATACACCAGACACACTATCACTAGTGGCTTCCCAGGGATGTTGTAAACAGAATTTCTTCCACTTGGACTGAATAAAACTCCCTAGGGGTTTTGCTGGAGTGTAGTGATGAATGCTGGTTGCTAGGTAGTAGAAACTGACAGAGCAGCAAGCAACCAATGGTAATGGTGATGCTGCTGCTTAAATCCTGCTTATCAAAAAAGGTTCACAGTACCGATGGACTTAGGTAGTCTGCAGGGCGTCTTTCATTTATACACAAAGCAGAGAGGCTGTTCCAAAGGGCAGAGAAGGCAGGGGGCAAGGGAGAGGACCCAGTACTAAAATCAGGAACATCTTATCAAGGCATCTCTGTGCTTTATGAAGACAGATGGCATATACATTTAAGACAGGGAGCTAAGACAGACAGACAGAACAACATACAGGACAAAGCACCTGGTTAAATACTGTCTGAAAATCTGATCAATCCTGTGAGTCAGAAATTTAAGGCTGGTCAAAAAAGCCTCCTGTGAACCACAATAATTTTTGATGTTTGCACAAAAATCAATAAATAAAAATAAAGGAGGGGGTATAAAAAAAAAAAGGACATGAGAGCTTTGGGTGATATTTGGCACTTTGCCTCGGAAAATGATGACAAATCCTGGGATTAAAAAAAATATATAGATAGATAGATAGATAATGACTCTAGTTCCAAGCAGCAATTCCTGGCTAAACAATGCAAGCCTGGCTGGCAGTTACCTTTCTCTCATGTTTTGTGCCTTCCCCAAGCCATTAAGTAAGAGATCTGGCCTCAGCTTGCGTGTAACCAGTAATGACAACCTCTTTGCAGTTATCTGTGTGCAAACAACCAGAGACATTCAGAACTCCAATACAGCATTTTTGAAGAAAAGTAAATCAATCAAGAAATTAAACTAGTTAAAACAAATATTTCTTTCAAAGAATAAGGAAAAAAATGCCAAGGAGAAACTCGCCCTCCCTGCCCCACAATTCAACATGCAGAATAGCTGACCAGTGTTTCTGTATCAGCTGGATGGTTCGACGCAAGTACACATATCCCGAGCCATCCACGGTGCCCAAACTCTGTGACATTGCTCTCAGGTGATAGAGACAAGATGGTCCATGCAAATGAGCTGACCAGAGTCATGTTGTGTGCAATCAAAAGAGAATCCCAAACATCTTCAAAATGGTTTAGAGTCACGAGAAATGAAGTTCCAATGAAGTGATTGGCATTTGGAAGCACACTGTTTTAAATACATCTCCCTGAAGATATGTTTATGTATTCGTGTACTGGCCAATAGCTGACACTACCTGTCATTTTATTGCGAAAGGAGACCGGGGCAATGAATACAGAGAAGGAGCACTACTTTAGGTAATCTTTAAAGCCAGGATAAGATTTGTTAGCTACCCAAGTGGCATTTCTGACTTCAAATAGTGGTATCATGCAGGATTTTAACTGTATTTAATGGAGCCTGGAGTAACTCTACACTTAATTATCTCCATTATGGGGTAGACAGTACTTGAATTCATACAATTTAGCCGACTGATGCAGTTTGGTTTACAAAATAGATGGGATGGGAGATCGAGAGCGCCTCAGAGGACAAGGAGAGTTGTAGGGTGATGTTACTGGAGAGAGCCTCAGAGCATTGCCTGCCATGCCCGCTATGTTGTTTAAGCTTCGGGATTTTTCATATCCTTTTATGAAAAAATGCACAGACATCAGTTGAATTCAACCAGAAAATAGACACAGACAAACAATACCATGCAGGATAATCAAAAGTGCTATTTTGAGTTCAAGGAAGAATTTTTTTTTTCACAAAGAATTCAATACTGAGACCATTTGTAACTTAAAAAAAGTAAGTAAATAAAGCTCACTAGAGCTGTCATTCCCAAAAGATTAAACCAGCTATCACAAATTATAGGTGTAATCCTTCAAAATTTATTCTTTCCCAGATTATATTTTGCATTGATGTAATTTTGACATATAAAATACTAGAAATCTTTTAAGAATTAGGCAAAGCAACTTAAGTAAGATACAAATGTGGCTAATATCCATACATTTCAGAATATGTTTCTGAAAAAAATGTTTTTTTTTCCTTATCATTTTTTATTATTTACTAAGCTAATAAGCAGGATTAAGTTTAAGTGGATGGCTTTTTTTCTGAGCATATTTAATCTTCCAGCTTTATAGTGTTAAAAGGATGATTCTTAAATAATGACATTGGATGCCATCATCTAGGCGATATGGAATGCATGCTCATTTCTAGCTCCTTGGATTAAAAAAGGAAAAAAAGGAAAGGAAAAAAAAGAAATGAAATGAAATATAAGTTAAGTCATAATTTCAGTGAATTTGCGATCGGAACTTGGTTATCTGATTTTTTCAGTTGGCTCTCCACTGCCGGGAATTGAGAACCATTTGATCTTGATTCACTTTTTCTTTCTATCATCTCACATTCTAATTATTCATGTGTGATAGTCATGGACTTACAGGATAAAAGATACATCTCACAAGCTTTAACCCAGTGGTTTTCCTTAGCTACTCAAGCAACATTCTCATCAAGGTCACCTTGGAAGGACTCAGATATTGTGGTACTATTTATTAGAAAAGATTAGAGGTGATTAGGTGGTGGGGGGTGGCACACTGTAAAGTTCGAAGTGAACTGTCTTTAGAGCAGGACCACTATTGGCTGAAAAAGCAGTCAGGAAATAAATGTTCTGTCTGACCGGTCTACTGAAAAAAAGTATTGTAGAACAAGGAAATGAAATTCTCTGCTGGACAGTCAAATCCGAGCAAGTACATACAATTTCAGTGAACTTTGTTATCCCTTAGATTTAGGGCTCATTCCTCGGACTCTAATTGGCCCTTGGTGGGCATGATCACTATATGAGAAAGAAAATGGGCCTTTTGTGCTTTCCCATATTCCTCTCAAAATACTTCTTTTTCTAATTCTGTATTTTCATGAACTTCTGGGGAAGAAGCTACTACCATCTCTTCTCCTTTCACTAGAAAAGGAGAAATTAAGCGAGTTAGTGATTATTTGATTTATCAGCACCCAGGACAAGTATGGACATGGATTGCAATAACTGCTCTACTGTGGGGTGAAGCAGCTTTGAGTAGGAACATCCTTCCCCATATACATACATAAACTTTCATCACACTAGATGTCTTCTCTGAGATTTTGTTGATGGAAAGTTATGCCACCCATTAAGTGTGGTGAAGTTCTCTAGAACATAATTTCTGCTAACCAGAGAATTATCTGCCAATATGTTTTGTTAGCATTTGGAGATATAAAACATGGGAGGTGATATATATTTCATCCTATTCCAATAGGTGATGGAATTCTTAATAAGGGGATGTCTTAAATAATTAAAAAAGAATTGCAGATAATTTATCCTTACATGGGGACCTCCATGTGCCTGGAAAGCTAGTTGTTACTGCTGTTCTCTAAAGTGACTGGAAATATAACTTGGGGAATTATAGGAAGAATACTTTATCATGGTTGGCCATGTGATCTAAAAATGCAAACTACAGTATAAACATTGATTTGGTTTGATTAAAAGCAAACTGGTGAATATGCATGGACTAGAGAGGTGTTAACACCTATAAATCATTCATCCTTATAAAAATTTACATCTGGGAAAAATAAAGTCTTTGAAAAAAAATTTACATCTGGTCTCCCACAACTTCCAAGCTCCCAATGGGACCTCCAAAAAGGCAAAAGTTTTCTATTAATGACACTAGTTATATGTAAATTTTGGTTGCCATTCTAAATGTTCAATTATTTTTCTGAATTACAGTTTTCAACATAAATATTACCCATTCTGTTTACAAGTCCTTTTACTTTTAATAACTACAATTTCAGTGTTCATTTGAAAAGACTTCTCTTATAATTTAATAACAAGTATTTAATTAGTAAAATTACAAGTTATTCTTTTAAGTATGTATTTTTTTTTCTGCAGGTTCATTTGTGATAGAAAATTAGATAAGGTTTTTGCTTAAGCAAACTTTTATTGACTGGAATGGTTAAAAATATGATTCATGAAGATACACAATATTGAACCTAGTTGGAATTGGCATCTAAATATATGGTGTGCATTTTGTATGGTTCTTAAGAGCATATGCTTCTTTGGGGCAATACTGAAACTGCTTAGCCATGCATTATCAATGGGTATGTTTTTGTGTATGAAAGATGATTTCCTAAAAACTACTGCATAAATAAAAACATAGGTTCTAAGTATTGAGACTTCACTTTCATAGAGGATCCATAAATTTTCTTAATGTACGCCCATCTATATTCATATTTGTTGATAGAAAAAGAATTCAGTGGGAATCTAGTCCTTTCTTTTCATCTATATAGAGGAGAATTTTCAGAAGTCTAAAAATCAGTAGAGAGACCAACTTGAAAGATAAAAAAGGGATCATATAGCAAATAAATGTTCTGAATAAGAATAGTAGGAGAAATCTATGATCTACATAAAAAGGAACGAGAAGAAATGAATGGGTTCTTGATAAACATAACAAGACAACACACTAAGAAAAATTAAGAAAATTAAGTGAAATTAACCAAAAATACTACAAGGCCTGAGAGAAAAAAAAACACAAGGTGTAAAGAAACTAAGCAAGAATGAAGAAGGAAGTTGATTGTGGTGAGAAATGACAAAGAATAAAAGCCCACAGATGAATTTTCAAAGATGTGCTCATTGATAAAGAGAATTTTGCATTTGTGAAATAAGATTTCATGTATAACCTTTCCATACAAACTAGGTATCTTATTAATTGCTTTGCTCGTGAAACATTGCCATTTTACAGAAAAATTCTATATTTACATAGTGGTTTATAATTTGCAAAGTATTTTTTCTTATGTGATCTCCTTTGACAGTTTAAAATCCAAAGTATTGTCTAAGAGTGGAAGGAAAAAATTTTAGCTAAGTTCTTAAACAAGCAATGTTAGTATAAATATTGCATGTGACCATTTATTAAGTGATGCTCAAAAATGTATGTGAATGTAACCACATATTACATATAAATATATATATACATATATAAAATATATGCATATATATACATATAGTGAGTAAAGATATGTAATGCACTTAAAATATAATGTTCTATACAAGAAATTGTTAGTTACATATTATAATCATTATTTAATATATGTATACATATTTTGCTTAAGTACTATGATAGTACACTATCTTCATAAAATATTTTAAAAACTGTTCTAGCACCTAATATTTAAATGTAGAATGGCAAACAACCAAATAAACCTATTCAGAGCATTGAAATACATTTTGGTGCAAATAATAGATGCAGAGAAATGGAAGTAATTGAAATGAAGAAGTATGTAAAATATTACATACTGAAGAAATAAAAGAAGAGTCTGTCTTCTCTTTTGAGACTCAAAGCCATGGAGACAGAAAGGACAATACAAAGTGTTCAGAAGTAATGAAAGAGAAGTACAATATGGGTAATGAGACATTTCAAAAAGAGAAGACATCACAAAATAAATATTTAAGGCTTAAAATGTTAAAGTATTCAATAGGGAGAAAATACAATGAATAGCAAAAAAGTGCAGTACTTTTTAAATGCAGTTGCACTAGTATGAAAGTTTTAGACTGGCTTTTCATTAAAATTCAGTCCATTGCATAAGAAATTATTATAGTTCTTTCTCTATTCAGTCAATAAGCAGAGAAAGAGAGCCATGGCAATAAAGCAACTGGAATTATCAAAGTAGGAGGTAATCAAAGAGCATATCAGCCCTTGGACAAGAGTGGGTAACAGACATCACAAAACTATTTCTTAAGGAGGGAGAATTGTCCTGAGATCTGTCAAGTTTACGCAAAACAAAAACAAAAAACAGTTCCTGGGGAATAGTCATAGACAGTGGTATCATCTAGAAAATTGGAAGGACATAATGGAGTAGAGCTTCAATATTCTGTTATATTTCTTAACCAAAGATGCCTGCGCAACCAAATTTATTCATTCGAATAATTAATTATTAATTATTAATTATTAATAATATTTAATAATAATTAATAATAAAATAAATAATTATTGCGTGTCTTCTGTATGCCAGGCACAGTTTAGTTTGGGTTGAAAATAGTAACAAACTTAAAAGTATTATTATTGCCTCAAAAAGAAATTCTGTAGCACAATTTGTAAGTCCATAAGTAGCCTTTCAAGTGGTGGCATATACTATTCTATATGGCCAAGGATGTTGGATCTTTTTGACCTTCTGACATTGAGATGAATCATGGCAAAACTGCCCAAATATTAGATAAGAGACTTAACCACAGTGTGTTTAAAGCTTTTCTTTGGGAAAAAAAAAAAAATCCTTGTTGTTTTATCAATTACTTATCAAATATATGCATAGACCCAATTAGTGAATTTTATTACGTGTAGTTGAAAACTGTTTAAAAACTGTTGAGTACATTATATTAATTAGCTGAGTGACTTAATTTTTAAATACCCCATTACAATTCTTCCCATAGACTAATGGAAACCAAAAATATAAAGAAAGAAAGAAGGGTGAAATGCCTTTCAGATAGGACAATCAAGTAAGCTGTTATGATATGCACTTAAATGTTTATAATGAGAAAAGAGGTGATGAGGAATGCAAGAGAACACTACGTGCAGTCTTTCCTACAAAATGATGAAAGAGCATTTATATCACTCCATATATTTGCAGCACTTAATTTCTAAGTCACCTGTTAGGATCTGATTAAATGCATGCCTACCTTTCCTGATCCCTCCATCAGAAGCACACGTGTAATCACCTGTCGTCAGTAGGAAACATGTTTCCCCTCTTCTGTTTTTGTCTCTGGTACTAGAGCGTCTGATGGGGAGCCTTTCTGGGGGTGATAATGGCGGCTCACTTCCTGTACTGTCGTCACCTGATAACACTGGTCACAGCACCATGCCCATTGACAGACAGTGATGGATGAGGAAATGAGACAGTACAAAGAGTTTACACTGAATGTCCATAGTACAGTCACTCGATATACAAAACACAATAATCACATCATGATAAGAAAAAGGGTTTTCATCACTCTACAAAAATTTACATGGAGCAAAATGGAAATGTATTGAAAAGGAGAGAAATGTTCTTTGGGAAGTTTTAATTCCATTTAGGATTCTATCTAATAGGAAATGGACTTTTACGGAATATGAATTCAAAATAAGTGTGATAATGATGTAGCACACACATTAATATCATATGATTTTTGACATGCTATCTAGTTATTGTGAATAAGAATCTTTAAAAGTGTAATCTATTTAAGGAAAAACTGCTAGGTACCTATTTGGTTTTGGAGTTCTTTAAGACACATGCTTATAATATTTGCAGAAAGTAACTTTCAAAAAAAAAAATCTTAGTAAAAGTAATCCCCAAACTCACTTTGTGTCCAGGTTCTCCATTTTGAAGTGAAAAAAAAAATGTTTTGAGCATAACAATGGAATAAGAGTAACTTCTCCAAATGCCCTTGAAACAACTGTTTACTTCTATAGGCTTGCCAAAGACATCTGCATCTGATTGGCCTAGATGCTAGCTTGTTATAACAATATTTATCCAGGCTGAGAGTGTGTCTGTCCTGTTTCTCATGCCCTTCATAAGGACTCTGCAGTCCAATGAGACTAACGACACCAACTAAACTCCACCTTTCATAAAGACATTTTTTGCCTGATAGTTTTCAGATATATTGACAGAATTTGCAGAACAATGTACTAAATAAGCATAAGGATCTTTATGAATAAAATCTTTAAGAAGAAGTTTAGTTCCAGCCACAATTTTTCCCCTTTTACTTCATATAAACTTCTGGAAACTAATGAATGAACATGTTACCTGCCATTTTTGTTTGTTTGCTTGCTTTGTGCAATTGATGTTTTTTCTATGTTATGCAAAAGTATTCACTTGGGATTATCATGAATCATTTTTCTACAGAAAAAGATTAAATATATCTAAGTTATAGGGAATGCACATATATTAAATTTTCATAGTGGGCTGAAACATAATTAAATTGTTTAATCTATAAAATGTTTAATCTGTACCAGATAAAATAGAGAACACATTACTATCATTTTGGCAAAATGAATATTAATTTACAGTCAATGTCTTCTAGATTATCTATGGCAATGGAGGGGGTAGGGATTCATCAGTAAATCACCCAAAATTCAGTTTTGGAGGGGAACAGAGCCCAATGTATAGTGCATAAAAAAGGAAATCCTCAAGGAATTTCAGCTTTGCCATTGGTTAGACAAAGCAGATCATCTACCTCCAGGATAACGGTAAATTTATTTTATTACATAGCATCTTACCCAATCTAAAAGGATTATACTGAATATCCTACCTAAGTTAACAGTAATAAAAATGTAATCAATCCTCTAGAATATTACTAGGGATGACTTTTATTATCAAAGATTATGATCTTCCATATCACCTTTTTGGTGTTCAGTCTATTGAAATATAAGCATCCATTCTTTTTAAGTAACTGCTTCTTGTGAAACAGGTTGAGATGCACGGCCCCATGTGGCAGAGGTAAAACTGAGACAAACACACCAAGCCAAATGATAAGGAAATCAACATTTTGAGAATGAAAAATGGAAAATGGCCAGTATCATACCATCACACCGTGCAGGGGAACAAAGAAACATTGGCACAAAAGCAACAAACGGGCAAAAGAAAATATTGGCACCATCAGCAAAGGGCATTCCCACTAAAGCAGGAAAACTCTATAGACCAGCTACACAGGCTTCTACTTGGGATCTACTAAGAAAAGCTACAGGCTAACTGTCTACAAGCCTGACACAAACACGTGTGTTGTGAAAGGGTAGAACTGAAGACTCGGGAATGTCTGCAGACAATGAAAATGGTTGCCTTCTACCTGAGGGACATACTGGTCTATAAAGCGGTTACTGGCATGCATCTGAAATTGTGCCTTACCTGATCTGTTATGTTCCAGAAGCCGATTGTCTTTGCCCAGACACGCGTCGCCCTGGGTGCTATTGCAGGCCATATTTAATTCTGTCTTGCAAAAAGTAGGTGAGCTTGCCTGAGGGGCAGGAGGGATGTGCTTCTTTCTTTTTCTTGGAAGTTTCTGCTTCGCCATTGCCAAGGAGTAGTACATTCCAAAGTTGTTCACAATGACAGGCACCGGCATGGCTATTGTCAGCACGCCAGCCAGAGCACACAGGGCTCCCACCAGCATCCCTGACCATGTTTGGGGGTACATATCCCCATAGCCCAAGGTAGTCATGGTCACTACAGCCCACCAGAAGCCAATTGGAATGTTTTTAAACTGCGTGTGCTCACTAGCTGAAGGGTCGTTAGGTTGAGCTCCTACTCTCTCGGCATAGTAGATCATAGTAGCAAATATCAAAACTCCTAGAGCCAGGAAGATTATCAGCAGCAAAAATTCATTAGTACTAGCTCGAAGTGTGTGTCCGAGCACCCTCAGACCTACAAAATGGCGGGTGAGCTTGAAGATTCTCAGGATCCTCACAAATCTTACCACCCTGAGGAAGCCAAGGACGTCTTTAGCAGCTTTGGATGACAGCCCACTGAGTCCCACCTCTAAGTAGAAGGGTAGGATGGCCACAAAGTCAATGATATTCAAGAGATTTTTGATGAATTCAAGTTTATTAGGGGAAAAAATGATACGGACTAAAAATTCAAAAGTAAACCACACCACACACACTCCTTCTACATACGTCAAGGCAGGATCCGTTTCGATTTCATATTGCAGAACAACACTTGTGCCATTGATGACTGGTTCTGTCTTGTTTTTAACAATATTGAAAGCTTCATGTGTCTCCAGGCAAAAGGTTGTGATTGAAACCAGGATGAAGAATAAAGAAGCAAAAGCAATAAACTGTAGGGGGGAAAACAAACAAACAAACAAACAAACAAAACAAAGAGAGAGTGATCTGAACTTTGGTATACTTTGATCCAAATCTAAAAGTATCGATCCCTGCAGAAGAAGAAAAAAAAAAAAGCTTATTTGGAGATTTTACTTGGATGTCTCTCAGGTGAAAGAAGAGATGCATAGATATCATTAATTAGATTGCACATGTAATGTGTTTCAAGTTCTGTTTTCTGCTTATATAGGTAAAAACTTTGGCTTTATGTTGGAAAATAATTTCTTGACTCTTTTCTATAGTATACCTGTTAAGAGAGCATAAAAACCAACCCAAAACAATGTAAAGGGCAACAAACTGGAAAAAAAAAAATAAGAAATGTACACAGTGGCTCCAGATACTGCTTCTGATCCTAGAAATCTTCATGTATTAGATCAAGCTTTACATCTATAAATATAAGGTACAGTCCATACTGATGAAAATTTGGAAGACAGCTGAATTTAACTGCAGGTTTTTAATCATAAGTAAAATCATCAAGATGTCATGAGGTATGGACGAGAAAAAAAATTTTTTTTGAGCTATGTTACAGTTAAATTGTATTGACTTAAGGTGGAGACTTGTCCGAAAGAACAGATCTAGAGATGAAGAGTAGGCAACAAGACCAAAGAGAGAGAGAAACAGAGTTAAGGAACAAATTTTCTTTCTCACCTGAAAAAGAATTCCAAGTGTTAGAGGAGCACGCTATAAAATTGCAGGGTTTTCTTTTTTTTCTCAACTTTTATTTCATTTCTTCAATCATTAATATGTGAGTACACATACCTACTAATACAGAATAATAATAATAAAAGCTTTCACTTACTTAATTCTTATTAGTGCCAGACACTCATAAAAGCAAATTACATAATTAACTCATATCAATACTCATAACAACATTACTACTACCATATTTTATAGTTCTGCAATAGTAACACAGAATTTAAGCTACTTTTCCAAGTCATAAGACACAAAGTGATAGACCTAAGATGCTAACCTGGCAAGTTTCACCCCCAATTGTTTTGGGAACTACCAGACTCTCACTTGTTGAACCCAAATATGTTGAAAAATTTACCTTGGGGTCGCATACTTCTTAATATTTGAGATCTGAAAACTTAACACCCAGTTTGAGTGAATGGTACTGTTGCAGACAGTACCAGAGGCTTGCAAAGAAGCCAGCAGATTCCTAATGCTTTATGCCAATGCTCTCAGATTTAGCATGTGTAATGAGCATCAAGAGATTGCCCTTTGAATATCCAAATGAATTAATCATTTAGGAGCAAGAAGTCATCAGTCAAGTGCAGGGTAGCCCTTTTTCAGAAAAATAGGGTGCATCTGAATCCCAAACCTGTCCCCTAATACCAATCCCTCACCCATGCTTAAGTTTCAAGAAGAGATTGAAACTACCTACTTTTTCCCGGTAGAGTTTTGATGTAAGTGATATACAAAAGGACCAAAAAAAAAAAAACAACAACAACAACAACAAAAAACTTAGGATGGTGACTATCTGCCTTAAAGAATCAGTTGTTTCAGTGCAGTGTAGCAGTTAGTACATCATTCTTATAATATTATAAAACATTCCATTTTCATGGCTTTGACTTACTTCTCCATGCATATCTTCTCATTTCCCTTGGTTTTGATATTACAGTTTCATTCATATCTTCCCCAGACATAATGCAAGATGTTAACATGTTTTCACTCTGCTTTCTCTTTGTACAAATAAATATATGGTTCTTTTAAAATCAACTACTTGTAACAGTATCACTAAGACCTTCTAGATACTTTAAAAGATGGTATCTTTTGGAGGAAGAATCAATTATCCTTGATTCATACATTACTTCTTAATCTAATCACAATTTTGTCTATAGATCTGAGAGTCAACTTTGTTTCTGATTCCCCCTGAACTCTCCTTTTGTCATTAGCGTCCTGCTGGTGTGTACATATGGACTCCCCCACCAAGCCACTCCCCACACTCTAGTCCCCAGCATTTCAGACTAAGTGTCAAAAGTTTTAGTGCACACATTCTATCTATGAGGCAGGTACAGAATACAAGGCAGTTAAAGTAAACTGCAATTTTATTTTATGCTTCTAGTATTCCTCAGTCAGCATTTTCTCATCTAACTTTGCAGTCTCAAATTCTGTCCACCTACATTCATGTAGTGAATTGATTGGGACGTCCCAACATTGCACTTTCAAAATCTGTCTAGCTTCCCAGCCTATCTCTCATACAACAGAGACAATTTTCTTGTGTATTCTGAGGCCTGTCAATACAAGACACTGAGACCTTTTCTGATCAGACATTTTCCTACTCTTCATTCATTCATTCATTCATTCAGCAAGTATGAATTAGGTTTCCCTCTATGCCAGGCCACAGGACTAGGGCTTTAACATAAGAATAGTTAACAAAATATGATGCCTGTGTTTGAGTAATTCACATTCTATTAAATAATTAACCACACAAAAATTTTATAATTACAATTGTGATAAATGCAATGAAGGATAGAAAGGATCAAAAAAAGGGGGCTTTATTTTAAGACTGAAGGGTCATAGTAACCTCTGACAAAATATCTACAGACTGAAATTTGAGGGATAAATGAAGGTTGACCTGCTGGAAAGGGGAGACTTGTCTATAGCACAGTAGGAAGTTTTAACAAAAAGTCTGGACTTTTTCAAACTCCCTTTCTCAAGTGATGCCTTTACTGGAACACCCCAGGAGCAGCAGCTCTTCCAAACCTGCCTCTTTTGCACGAATTGTCATGATTAAAGCCCAACCTAGCACAGAGACCCTGACTTTTTCAAGGTTAACCTCTCTTTTTTTTTTTTTTTTTTTTTCTGAAGAGCTTTAAATAAACCAGATATATTACCTGGGTTTTAAAATGAGGCTGTAAGGTGACTTTAGAGCAGTTTGGTTGTCGGTGGTACTCTTTTAGACTTGTTGGCCTATTGGGAGAGCTATAGAATTCACTTATGTTAAATTATTGTATCAACCCCATTGTTTGGGATGCAGTAAAAAGAAAAGATATATGTTAAAGTGTTTTTTAATTTAAAACCCTATGTAAATACTAGAAATCATTATTATATATATTTTAGTATACTTCAAAAATATATAATTAGTATCTCAACAAGAACTACTAGAACCTGATGTTTATGTTCATTAAATGAGTCATTATGTTGTCAGAAAAAGGTCAACAGAGTCAGAAGGTACAACCGCACTGGTGGTTGGAATTTAAGTAACATGAATCATCTTGTTAAATTTCCCACTTTGCCCACCCATATTCCTAGAAAAGGAGTTTGGTCATATTTATTAGAACATACCTGGAGAGCTTACACAAATGTGAACTCCTCACTCTCCACACCAGGTATCAGACACAGATTCATTGGGGAGAAGGAATTTGCATTTAACAAGCAATCATGGTGATTGCTATGCATACCAAAGTTTGAAAAACACTGTTTCAGTGTATTTTCAACTTGATAATACAGGTTGATAACTCATTAAATGAAGTGGAGAAGTTTCTAAATTACAAGCATTTATAGAATCTTCCTAAGTCTTAATAAGAATAGTTCACTACCTCCTATAATATAGGACATTTATGTCTATATCTGTGTGTCTTTTTGTGTGTGTTGTGACATAATTCTGGCTCCTACACAAATATTGGTGAGTAAACAAAGCAATTCAGCCTCTAAATATATACAATTCTAAGACACAAAACCTTGAAAAACTGAAAGTTGTTTGTTTTTACAAGTCACTTAGGACTTGAATTTATCAATATTTTTATTAGCTTATTTGTTTATTCATTTATTATAAAGATTTTATTTATTTATTTGACAGAGAGAGAAACAGTGATAGAGGGAACACAAGCAGGGGGAGTGGGAAAGGAAGAAGCAGGCTTCCCACCAAGCAGGGAGCCTGATTTGGGGCTCCATGCAGCTTTGATCCCAGGACCCTGGGATTATGACCTGAGCTGAAGGCAGACACCTAACAACTGAGCCACCCAGACACCCCATTATTAGCATTACTTAAAGAACCACATCATGGTTTTGTATTTGTATTATTCTTCACTGTAATTTTTATAGTTCCTATATATTTAGTTTTTAAGGACTTCGTAAATCTGCCAGAGCGTGTAACAGTATAATAGGAAAATAAAAAGAGTGTAAAAAAAGAAACAAACTGTCATCCTGGGAGAGAGACACTCATCTCAGAAGTACATGATTATTTTGCTTTAAAAAAACAAGCTAGAATGGCTTTTTTAAAAAATTTATAAAGTCTAAAGACTACTAGGTATGGTTTAGAATGAGAGGACTGTAACAGAGAATCAAAATATTCTTCATAATAACGTGGTAGGAAATTGGAAGTTGTCTTCTGTCAGCTTAAAAGTTGGGGGTGTTGGAAGAAAGTTGAAATCTGAAGAGAAAGAAATGGGAAAAGTCTCTCAGGATGAGGAAAGTCACATCAAGGGAGGGGGCAAGCAAGTGAGAAATCCCTGTTAGGTGCAGCAAAGGAACTTTGGGACATGGATGGAGTGTATCAAATTTTAAGATGATGCTTTCTCTGTTATGCCTTCAGTAAAAGGTCATTGTACAAAAACCTGGCATTGATGGTGCTTTGAGTGATGAAGGTATTGGGCCATGGAAGGACAAAAAAGAAGGGAGGCAAGATACAAGGTGAGACTCAAAAACATAGGAGAGTAATAAATAAGAGTAAAAGGAAATCAGGAGACATGTAACCCTTGTTCAAGTATGTGGAGACATTAGGAAAGACAGATTTCCCAACAGAATGAAGAATAGGAGCTCAATTTATTAGGAACTTGGTTTGAGTATCAGATGAAAAGGTGACCCCAGAAGGCTTGAAGACCTAGAATCATCCAAAGGCAACACTTGGACACCATTAGCAAGAAATTTGTACACTTTGGTTGAACTTAATTCTAAGAGACTTGGATACAGAAAATGTCTTCTTTTTTTCTGACTCAGTAAGTTAAACTGA